ATCCCCAGCACAACCAAAAAAAAAAAGAATTAGAACAAGTCTTTAAGGTTTTCTTCAGTTCTGAAATATGTTAGGTACTTACATCTCTAATCCACATGTTCAAAATAACATTATTTTTCAACATGAAGAATTAGTCAACTTTTTCAGCTCCATGAACTGACTCTCCTTTTTTTATTATTATTATTTTATTTTAATGTATTTATTTATTATTATGTTTTTGAGCCCAGGCTGGCTTCCAACTCCCAGTCTTCCTGCTTCTTGAATGCTGGGATTGTCTCTTGAGTGCTGGGCCTGAACCATGCCCGACTTCTGAGTCTGTTTCTAATGTTTGCTGTTGAACTGATTTAATAAGGTCTCATCTCTAGCTTGATGACCTGAATGGGTACCACTGTCTCTCTTCTGGAATTTTCTGATCTCTTTCCTGTTCTCAGTTTTCCAGGCTCACAGAGTCCTCCAGCCAGCCAGCTCAGCTCTCAAGCACTGTCTGAGGCTCCCTTGCAGCTCTCAGGCCCCATGCTAAGAATTGGTCCATTGTCTTCACTCTTGTGCACAATTTTATAAACTTATCAGGCCAGTGTGACATTTCTTTAGCACATGATGGTCTTTCAGCTTGTGGATGTTCTCTAGCAAGGACTAGTAGGGAGATAGGGTTAGGCTATGATGCCTAGAAGTAGCTTCCTGCTGCAACTCACAATGCCAGGGCTTTGATCCTGTGGTGTTACTCTTCTAGGGTGGTCATCTGGGTTTTTAGAATCCCAGGACCATACCTGTACTGATGACCACCTGCTCTACCTCTAATTCCTGCCTATCTAGGTAAAGATGAGCAGTGATGAGTAGAAAATAATTATTCCTTTGTAAAGCAGCATAGACCTGGTCATGTTGACACAGGCCTGTAATACCAACACTTGGGAGGCAGAGGAAGAAGGATTGCAAGTTTGTGGTCAACTTAGGCTACATGGTGAAGGAAAAAAAACATGGGGAAGGAAAAAAGAAAGAAATAGCAAGAGAGAAAAAAGAAAGATAACATAGAGTTGCTTTGTGGGAGGCAGTAAAAGCCCTTCAAGATAGGCTCTATCTTCAAGATAGATAGATAGACAGATGTATGTATGTATGGATAGATGGATGGATGGATAGGTGGATATAGACAGATATATGGATGGATGGATAGATAGATAGATACATGGATGGATGGCTAGATAGACAGACAGATAGAATGAGTGTGCTAGACAGACACCATAGGTGAGTAATGACTATAGGCAGGAGAGGAGAAGTGGACAGGAAGTGCTAAAGAGGAGCAGGAGGGGACACTTGCAGCCTAGGGAGTTGGGTGGGTCTCAAATGAGGAAGGACAGGATCTGTATCTAGACTTCTAAGGTCAAGTTCAGCTGCAGGGAAGAGGAAATAGATACTCCTGGCAGTTACATAATTTTGAATCTGCCTATGGTTCCTAGTTCAAACTTAAGTTCAGAACTTTCCCCAACTGTTCCTCTTTGCTCAACTTGCTACTGCCAGATCTCTGCCATTGTGGACATGGCAAGCTTTCTCTTCTCTGGACATAAACGCCTGCCTCAACCCTGGATAGTGGCATTAGAAGGAATGAGTTTTGTATGTTGCTCAGTCTTTGGCTGGAAAGACATCTTTTTAAGGTGAATATGATTGACAAAAAATTTTTTTTTATATTTTTGGGTAAAAAAAAGTCACTGATACTTATTTTCTCAGATTCATTATTAGATTTCCTCATTGGCTGTCAGTGTGGATTTTCCAAAGTTTATGTAGACTATATAAATAACAAGAAATATCAAGATGGATAGTGAAGAAAATAATAAAAAGCAAGAAGCCTGCATAACCCATAAGTTGTTTTTCTGGGGACTAGATATTGACAGTTGTCTGTATAAGAAAATCAGGTATTCTTTCCTTTTATACATGACTGCAGTTTTTGTAGATGGCCAAAGTTGCAAGATTTCTGTTTACACCTATTGAGAGTACATTTTCTGACTGTCTTCCTCCCTACTAGACTCACGAAGTCTCACCTAATGTGAAACTCCTTGAGGGTCAGGCACCTAAGAAACTTAAGAGACATTTTTCAAATGAACTGATGAAATTAACTTGGCTCTTGGTTATCTGCTATGAAGTCAGTCTTTATAGCTCTGTGTTTTATGGTTCCCATGGAATTAAGTGCTTGAATCTGTTCAGTTTCAGAGGCTCAAAAAAATCTTTGTAATGTATGATCTGTTCTCACTTGTTTCTGCATTATGCAAACGCAACACATACAAATGGAGCACTTCTGCTTCTTGATTCAAAAAAAGTAACTTTCAAGTCCGGATTGTTCTATCTAGGTGACAGTAAGCTAAAAAACAACTCCCAGCAGAGCAACTATAAAATATTATCATGCTCTTTGTACCCATTGCCCTTTTCTGATAAGAGAGAAGCGATAAAAACCCAGACATTCTCAGCAGTTTCTTGCACACGAAGGCTTTTTTTTTTCGTCAAAGAGCACCCTGTCTGTGAGTCCAAAGGCATTGCAACATGTTTTGTTATTACACTTAGCTCCAGAACTCACCTGCTTCTACTTGTCAAGGAATAACTAAGGATTCCTGAACTCTGTAAAAGTTCCAAGAGCTGCACTTGGCCTCACATCCTTGCCCAGGGTGGCAGAGCAGGAACTTAGAAAAGTGGTTCCTTTTTGACCTGTGGGGCAGAAGGACCAAACTTCCAGGAAGTTGATTATACCATATTGGGTGGTTAAGTTCTGCTCCTAATGAGTCCCAGAGAGGGAATAATAACAATCTGAGTGAATGACCTTGGTCTAGGGAAGACTGAGCCTAGGACTAGATTACTCACTCTTGGTGTCTTGCTCTGTGCACCTGCAGATTTGCCCCTGCTGTTCATAGCTCTGTCTCTGAGCCCACACCACTTCCCAGTCCCTACCAGACAACATGACCTTACCTTCTACTCAGCTAAGACTTAGCCAGTTATGGGTGTTGAATGTCTTCATTCCCCCTTCTCCTTTTCCTTCCCTGCCTGTGCTGCAGGAGGCTGACCTGGAGGGATTGCCTTAAGATGCTTCTTAGGCCTCTGGTCTCCTAAGGGCTTCAGCCCACAAGGAACCTGGCAGGAGGGAGGAGATCCCATGCTTAACACCCAGTTCCCTCCAGTGGGGTTGCTGATGACCTTGCCCGGCAGGTGGTCTCTCACACTCCTCTCTCTTTGGGTTCTGGAAAATCCACTTCTAACCCTTGAGGCCTGTGGCTGACAAAAGCCCTCCCTGGTGCACTAACCCCAGGTTACTCCTCCATGCCTTGTAGTTTACTTGCCCACACTCACATATATTTCCAAATTGGAGTGCCATGTTTCTGGCTGAGACTCTCCCTAACTGAAGATCACTGAGGGCCAGTAGAACACGGTGCTCACACACGGTCCTCAGCGGCCTGCAGCTGTCAGCCACCCTGCTCAGAGAGCTCTGAGCGGCACACAAGACTGGATTGTCTCTGGTCTGTTGAGTAACTCAGGACAATTTGCTTCTTTGTTTTCTAGTATATAACAAATGTTGTAGACTAATCGATATCCAAATTCCTTCTGATTCAAACACAAGATTATCCCGCAATAGCCATTCTGCGTTTTTTGCACTATGTGGAGGGTGGACAGTGTTTTCCAGCTACCTTGGTTATTCTAAAGGTGGGTTCAAAAGCACAATGAAGCCATTCAGCACATTCAGAGTTCAAGGGCATGGGGACCCAGCATCTAGGGCCAAGCTGGTGTTGGTACCCCACAAAAGGTTCTGCGTGGGAAGGAACAGGAGTGTTGAGCCCGCTGTCCAACTCTACGTCCTTCTGCTGCGGCAACATTGGGCTCGTGGAGGTCAACAGACTTTGCATCCCTGAGGTGTCAGTCTTCTCGCCAGTCAAGGGCGGACACTGACATCTTGCATCTTGAGCGCAGTCACCCCAAGCCGCCCATCCCGACGGCCAGGAGGTGCAGCAGCGGCTTGAACCGCCGCGCGGGAGCCGCCCGCGGGGGCACGGCACAGTGGGCGGGGCGAGGCCAGGAGCCCACGTGATTGGTGCCATGGTTCTCCTTCCCAACCAATGGGCAGCGAGCCCAGCCCGGGGCGAGGCGGACGCAGCGCCTTAAGCAGTGTGACGCGCGGCGCCGCGCCGCTTATCTCCGTGTGGTCGCGGGCGCGTGTGCTGCTCAGTCACCCGGGCGCAGTCAGGTACCGCGCGGGCGCTCGATGCGGGGCTGAGGTCGGGGCGTCCGGCCGCGAAGACGAGCGGCTCCGGGAAGGGTTGCGGGGACACGCCGGGTCCGAGCCGATGGGCAGACCCAGTGTCCGGGCGGCTCGAACCCCGGCGGCCTGGAGCTCCCCCCGGAGCGCGGCGCATCCCCGGTCCCGGGCGGCGGGCGGGCGCGGGGCCGGGCGCGAGCAGGAGGCAGGGAGCGGCTGTGGATGTGGCACCTCCGCCTGCCAGAGCGGGCGGAGCTGGCCGGCCCCTGGCTCGCGGCCAGCGGGGGCCGGGCCTCAGCCTCCCCACTCCCGAAGCGCTGAGACTCTTCCCGTAAGAGGCCCCACGCCTCTTAGGCCTCGGGGTTTTCGGGGTAGGAGGACTTGGGGGCGCCGGGCACAGCGGGTCCCCTCGGTTCCCGCGATCGGCGAGTGAGGTGCCTTCTGCATGGAGCACAGCGCAGGACAGGGTGACTTTGGTCCCCGGGCGGGGACGCTGATCGCACTATTGAGAAGGGAGCCTTCCCGGGCAGCGCCTGGGGCGCCCCGCCAACCCTCCCCATCCCCCCGTCCCCAGCCTTCCCTCCCCGTGAGCGCATCCAGGAAGGAGATGGTTGTGCAGTGACGTGCACGCTGAGTAGATGGTGCCAGGAGATTGGCACAGGACTGGGGGCACGAAGATCGCACCCTTAGGGTTCCTTTGCAGCCCTTGCTGAGCATCAGGAAATTCGAGCGCAGTGGAACGCTTGCGCCCGGTCACCGCGCTCCCCTTGTCGCCCGGATCTAGCCTGGCTGTGCAGCTTTTCCTTTTGGATAAATGAAATGGGGGAAAGAGTGACTTTGGATGAAGTCTCCGATTTCTCCGTTCTGAATCTCTCCTTCGGGATTTTAAATGTTTGTATGGGGATCTAGTTCTTCAGGTGAACCTGGAACCGGTCTCTAGACTCTAATCCAAAGTCTTTATCTGCGTGAAGTAAGCAGTGTAAGTTTTGTATTTTTTTGTATTAAAAAAGTCTTTTTAATAAAACGGTCTCACTATGTAGCTCAGCCATCCTCCTGCCTTCTGAGTGCTGGGATTACAGAGGCCTGCATCACCAAGTGCAGCTGTAAAATTCTTTTAAAAAGGACTTTTTTTTGCCCTCTTCAAAGAAGCTACCTTATATATTTTTACTTCACATTCTGCCTTTACTACAGGTATTTGTGTGGATATTTTATGTCCTTTACTGAGTTCTTGAGGCTGGGCCAAATCCCATACATCTTAAAATAGTAATGAATGGGCAGAATTTTGGAGGTGTGTGGAGGGTGTGGTGTAATTGACCCAGTCATTTTTCAGTAGTAGTTCTTTAGTTTGCCAGTGACGCACTTGAGTTGAAGTTTAGCCTGAATGTTGATTGTGTAAAAAAGGTTTTGCTGGCAGAACTTAAAAAAAAAAAAAACAAAAAAAAAAGCCCTTGTATTTGTTGCCTCAAGAAAAGTAAATATTTGACAATAGCAAAACCAAATTTACTCCTCAAGTTGAATATTTTCAATGGCTTTTTGATGACTTTACCCTGATTATTCTTTTAGAGTGATTTAAGAAAATAACATTTAATAGTGAAGGCTGAACAAACTTCCAAATGCAGCCTTTTATTGGAGGAATTACATTGTGGGAACATTATGGTGGGTTGATAGGGAAAGAAGAGTGAGTAATGGTAGCCTGAAGGACTGTGTTAATTATGAACTGCTAAACATTGAGGGTTAGAAGTGCTTAGCTTGTTGACATCAATTTGTACTATTTCCTGGACCTGAGTATCTGTTACCTACATTACAGCAGCTTGAAACAAATTATTTTGACCTTTGCAGGCCATTAGATCTAACCTCATCCATTCTCAATGAAAAGACAAGCTTCAGATGAGGTCAGAGAGAGCTCTCAGAATTAGCTCACTTGGTTAGGGATAGGTGACCTAATGATGTCTCTTGATAGTCTCAGTCACTTTCTGTGTTACCCTGGCTGGCTTCAGGAGCTTAGTGTTGAGGAATGACTTCAATTATTTGGCAAACAAAGAATGCCTACAGGAGGCCCCTACCTGAGCTAGGTGAATTTTAAGACATGGTTGGTGACCTTTTAAGGAGCTTGGAGTCTAACAGCGGGGGACAGTCATGAAAAGTGTACTGAAGTATTTGGACCTGTGACAAAAGTCTGGAAAGTTCTGGGAATCTTCAGGAGGGACTTATGTGGTAAATTTGAGAGAGAGTGTGGAAAGACAGCTAATGTGTAAAGTATTTATGCTTAGAAAAAATGAAAAGTGGTTATCTCATAAGTATGGAATAGCTGCTTATTTTCTTGTCTGTTTTCTAATTTTTTTGAAGAAAACAATGGAAAGAAAAAAATGAATTACAAAAAGAAACCTATGGCACTGTTGAGGTTTTTTTTTTTTTTTTGGTAGAAATTGGCTAGTTCCTTTGTGAATTTAAGGGAACTGTCAATGGCCACTTTGTGCTAGGGTTGGAACTTTAACATAAACTCCTTAATTCTCAGGAATGCTCTTGAATTGCTTGAACCTCATTTTACAAATAGAGGTACTGAAAGACTGACATCACCCACAAATACTCTTTAGAGTCACAGGCAGAATTTAGTTCCAATAACCAAACTCTGTGGATTTTCCACCCTACTCTTCTGGTTTTCCAAACCTGTCGAGGAGAGTAGATTATTCTCGTTGGCTATATTTAAGCTCTTAATTCTGCTGTTTATCATACAGTGCCAACCACAGCAACCTGAACATAGAAGGTTCTATACTGGAAACGAGTTTATAAGATTCTAGTACCTTGTGACGCATGCAACTTGTGACCCATGCAACTTGTGACCCTTCCCAGTTGAATTAAATATCCACAGTTCATCTTTAAGAATTTGAGGAATGAGTTTACTGATGTTCTGAATGTTTTATCACTAAACTACAAGTTATTCTTTAATAAAACTGCCTGAACTCGGCAGATAAATGGATTTTTCATCCCATTTCACAATGAAAATGTTAAGTTTAGGTAATCTTAAGGAATCTTTACACCTGCAGGCTTTTTTGTTTTTGAGACAGCGGTTCCCTACGTGGCCTAAACTGCCCCACCTACCCTTCTCCCCAATCCCTTGAAATCTTTTATCAGCCTGCTAATTAACTTAAAACATACAGTTTTAGAGTGTTTTTAGGACTTTAAGAATACCCTTTATTTTTTTTTTTTTTGTTGAGTGTTTCTCTGCCTGCTACTAGTGAAGTCACAGAGCTAGAGCTCTTGATAGCAAAATGATCTGCAGGATAGTTTTTTAGAATTTAACCCTGTCCCTGGGAACAGATGAATTTGTGGACCTAATTATCATAATTAAGGCTGTACTTCCTAGGGGTAGTGACTTCTATTTTTCTTTTAACCACACCATTTTCTCAAAGGTTATCAAGTCTTTCTTTTGGTTTAGTTTGTTGCCTGATCTTTCTCCTCAGGCGGACACCCAATTTCATTCTTAATCTTTCTATGTGATCACAACTGTAATTCATGGTCTTTGTAGGAAAACAGTGGAAAATAAAGAATAGTCTAAAGATAGCCCCTGTAACCATGCTGTGTCTTTCCTTACATTTCTCTTACATCTTTAATATAGTTGAGCATTTTCTTTGGTGACACTGGGGCTTGATTTTTTTTTTTGAGACAGGGCTCTGTAGCCCAGGCTGGCCTACCACTTGCACTCTTCTTGCTTCAGTGCCCTGAGTGCTGGAATTATAGGCCTGAACCACTGTGTTTGACCTATAATTTTATTTTCTTCACTTAAACATATTCTAAAGTACCTTGCTATGTCATTAAAAACTTAATTTGAAAATGGCCACACGTTACTATGTACATGATTGTGTTACACCAGTGTTTTTCCACATTCCTGAGTATTTTTTACAATGAAATCTTGGGATTAAAAGTACAAACACTTCTATCTAGGCTTTTACAATGGCTGCATCACTAGTAGGCGCTGCCTGTAAGGCGTGTTGCTCTGTTTTATGGCCCATTTGCTAGGCAAGCAGTAATGTGCTTTAATTTTTAGCAGGTCAAACAGTTGATTTATTCCAAGTAGACTATAACGGACCTAAGAAAGAAATTGTAAATCAGCCTTAGACTTAGTGGTGGTATTCTGAGGGAAGTTCTGTCTAGAATTTAGATCTTTTTGTTAGTGGCCATCTTCTGTCTGATGATTCTATGTCACTTTTTTTTATTGTAAGCACATATTCCTTTGAAATAAGGTCTGGTGGAAGATTGTGCTTCTGCATACAGTTATGCATGTTATTTTAGGAGTAATTGGACCCTCGGAAGACTGTCCCTGGAGCTCATGTTACAAATCTGCCTTCTAGTCTGAGCTGAGGGAAGAGTTGGTGAGGCTTTGGCAAACCATAGTGCTGCATTTTGCTTAGTAATCAAAAATTCCTGATTTATGGGATTTACTGGGTAGTTGCAAGTCGAAAGGGAAGTAAGCCAAGCTCCAAGCGCTGTGATTTGCTAATTTGGCAGCTCAGGTCAAGAATGCTAAGGCTGTGCGTGATTTGACTTGTCACTGATAGAGTTCTGTTGAAACATGAATAAATCAGTGTGTTCAAAAATAAACATGGTAAGCCTGCAAAAGTCACGGATTTAGTACAGCAGTTTTGACCAATTGTGACCAATAGCAAAAGGGTTTTCAAAAACAATTTTAAACTCCCACACACGCATTTCGTAACTCAGTGGATGAGGTGAAACCAGCAGTCCTCAGTTATCATCAGTTGGGTTTAAATACTGTGTGATTCGCTGAGCGTTCCCTGCCCTTCATCTTGTAAAAATCTGCCTCCTAAAAAAGCAGATGGTGCCCCAAAAGCAAGGTAAAAGGAATGATGATTCTCCCAAGCCAAAAAGGGCACAAAAGTGCTTAATGTAAATGATAAGGTGAAAATTTGAGACTTATTGAAAGGTGGCATGTCTTTAGCAGAAGTTGCGTGGTGTTTTGGAAACACTGAATCAAGTGTCCGAAGTCCAGCCCTGAACTCTGTGTCCTGTTCACGCTCGGGTTTTCCTCTACAGTGGTCTCCTTGGAGCCGTACACCAATGTGTGCCAAGGGTCTGCTGCACTTACGGATTTATCAGTATGCCTAGTTTTGTGTAACTTTCCCCCAATCTTCAATTTATCTTAAAATGTTTCTCCTGACAGAATGATCTCTGTGCATGTCTTGCATTTCCTTTTTGTTCTTGTTTCTTCTGTAACTTAGTTTTTACTTCATGGCTTATCATGATGCTGAATGGTAAACTGGTTCGTTTAACACCAAGGTGGCTGAAACAGTGATGGGGGCTGGTGGGGGCTAGAGAGAGTAGTCTGACCCTGAAATACTTAAATCCTTGTGAGTAAGTGCCAGTGGGCTTAGGATGCTCAGGTTTTAATACTGAAATTTGTACAATGAACTAACTGTAGCTAAGGTCCTAATTACCTTTTTCTCCTTCAGACAGTTGCTTTTCTGGTACAGTTTTTTTGAGGTGGGGAGGGGGAAGTTTTATAGAAACAACCATTCTAGCAGAATATATCTAATTTTTATACAATTTTTTTTTTTTTTTTAGTGGGACTTGTGTTTGAACTCAGGGCTTCACACTTGCAAAGCAGGTGTTTTACTGCTTGAGCCACTCCTTCATTCCATTTTGTTTTGCTTATTTTGGAGTTTGGGTCTGGAACTTTTTGTCCTGGCTGGCCTCCAACTGAGAGCCTCCTGATCTTAATCCTCTCAGGTATCTACAGTTACAGTTGTGAACCACTGATGCCTGGCTTCATCTTTTATATTTGTATAATTTTTTTGAGCTTTTTATAAAAGCTGTTTAAGATTCTTTCAAATTACAAAATATTTTTCCCTAGTCTTTGCCTTTCACCTTTGTTTATGGTGAATTTGGCCTATAGAAGTTTTAGATATTTGTGGCTGGTTGATAGATTTTACTTTTGTAGTTTGGGGGGATGGGAAGAGCTTAATACCAAAGACAAAGTCATTTTTCTGTCAATGTCTGTTTTTTTTTCTTTTGGGATGATCCCTATTATCCTTGTAAAAACCAATTTTTTTTCTGAATTGCTTCACTCTTCACACAAAAATAGTCAAAATGCAAAATAGAAGGGGTGTATGTGTGTGTGGTTGCACAGGCTTATAGACCCAGCTATTCAAAGGCTGAGGCTAGAGGTTCATTTGAGCCCATTAGTTGGAAACCAGTCTGGGCAACATAGTGATTGACCCCATCTCAAAAAAAAAGATCTCAATCCCTGCCTCCTACCCATGAGTACCCCAGCACCCTTCTCTGGCTTGGTCGCCCTGCCTCTGATCTCTGCCTTACAGTAGACACTGCCTGCGAGGACCTCCCCTGATATCCTGGCTGTGGTAGATGCTCAGGATGCTTAACTTGCACACGTGTTTTGGCCCTGAATGTTCTTACTCTTTACGCCTTCTCTTTTCTTCAGACAGGTCTGTGGTGTTTCTCCTTGAAGGACACACAATGCTCTCCAAACTAGCACGTTTGCAGACTGTTGCTGTGCTTCGTCGAGGAGTTCATTCCTCAGTGGCTTCCGCCACATCCGTTGCAGCTAAAAAGACAGTCCAAGGCCCTCCATCCTCTGAATACATTTTTGAACGGGAATCTAAATATGGTGCGCACAATTACCATCCTTTACCTGTGGCCCTGGAGAGAGGAAAAGGTATGTTTTGAATTAATCCACACCTATCCCCCTTTTACTTAAAATGTTTTCTAAAGCTAGTTGCTTTTCTGTTTTTCTCAGCATCCATTTTCCCAGATGTGCCTAATGTCTTTGCAGACAGGGCTCATTCTGCCTTACTGATTGTTGAGGGCATCCGCCTCAGGAGCTACTGGGCTCCTGATGATCAGTTAGTCTTTGTCATGGTGGGCCTCATCAAGAACTATGGAAAGTACTGTAATATTGCTGTCATTTTTTTTCTGTTAGCCTTTATTTGGCATAATTTTAGATAAAAAAAAAGTTGTGCTGGGGGTGATGGCTCATGCTTATAATATCACCTGTTTGGGAGGTGCTGATAGGAGAATTAACAGCTTGAGGCCACAGCCTGGGCAAAAAGTTAGTGAGATCCTGTCTCAAAGAATGGCTGTCATCGAGCTACACAGGAGGCAAAGGTAGCAGGATCTCTCTGTTTGAGACTGGCCCCAGCTAAAAAGTTTAAGACCTTATCTGAAAAATAAAGCAGAAAGGGCTGGGGAAGTGGCTCAAGTGGTAGAGCACCTGCCTAGCAAGTGCAAGGCCCTGAGTTCGAACACCAATACTACAAAAAAGAAAAAAAAATTTCCTTCCCTCTCTCCCTCCCTTCCTCCCTTCCTCTTCCTCCTACTTTTTTCTTACTCTGCTTAGCTTAAATAGTTGAGGAGCTGCCAGAGTTTTTCATAGCAGCTATACTACTTTACACTTCTGCTAGCAATGTGTAAGAGCTTCAGATAATTTACATCTGCCCAAATGTGTTGTCCTTTTTCAAAACTATAAACATGCCAGTGAGTATGAAATGGTGTCTCATTGTACTTCTGATTGGCATACCTCTAATGACTGGTGGTGCACAACATCTTTTCATGTGTGTGTCAGCTGTTTGTATGTCTGAAGAAATACCAAGTTATTTTCCCATTTAAAATTTCTTTTGTCTTAGTGTTTTTTATTGTCTTTTTTTTTGTCTTATTGAGATCCTTAATTGGATACATGATTTGCAAATATCCCTATCTGTGGGCTATTTTAAATATACATATTATACACATAAATACTTATATATATATTTTACATATATATATATGTATATTTTTTGGTGGTACTGGGGTTTGAACTCAGGCCTCACGCTTGCTAGGCAGAAGCTCTACCACTTGAGCCACTCTGCCACCCTTTTATGTGAAGGATTTTTTTGAGATAGTGTCTGGCAAACTATTTGCCTGGGCTGGCTTTGAACCACAATTCTCCTGATCTCTGCCTCCTGAGTACCTAGGATTACAGGCTTGAGCCACTGGTGCCTGTCTTAAAAATATTTTTTATTGGCATATATTAAATTGTATATAAGAAGAGTTTTCACCATGACATTTCCGTTCATGCATATAATGCACTTTGATCATCTCTATCCTCTGGTAGTCTTTCTTCCCCGGGTCCTTTTCCTTTCCATCTTCCTAGTAGTCCCCCTTTTCCTTCATGGCCTTGGTTTTTTTGTTTTGTTTTGTTTTCCCTTCGCTTCCACAAATGACAGAAAACGTGACACTGGCTTATCTCATTTAACATGATCTCCACTTCCATCCATTTTCCACCAAATGGCATCATTTCATTGTTAATCGCTGAGTAAAATTCCACATTTTCTTTATCCAGATTTCATAATTTGGCTGTAGTGAATCGTATTACAATAAACACAGATATACAGGTGTTACTTTATTAAGCTGGGTTTGACTATTTTAGGTAGATATCCAGAAGTGGTATGACTGGATTATCTGGGAGTTCTGTTTTTAATTTTTTAGGAACCTCCATACTGATTTCCGTAGTGGCTAGACTAGTTTACATTCCCATCAGCAGTGAGTAAGTGTTCCTTTTCCCTCCACATCCTTGTTAACGTTGGTTTTTATTTTCTTGAAAGCTATTCCGACTGGGGTGAGGTGGAATCTCAATGTAGCTTTGATTTCATTTCCCTGATGGTTGAGGATGTTGAATATTTTTTATGTATTTATTGGCCATTTGTACTTACTTAAAAAAAAGTTTTTTTTGGTAGAACTGGGAGGGTTTGAACTCAGGGCTTTGAGCCTGCAAAGTAGATGCTCTACTGCCATACCTCCAGTCCATTTTGCTCTGGTTATTTTGGAGATGGGGTCTCTTGAACTATTTACTCAGACTAGCCTCAAACTGCATTGTTCCTAGTCTCAGCCTCCCAAATAACTAGAATTATAGGCATGAGCCACCAGTGCCCAGCTGTACTACTTCATTAGGACAGTGTTCATTTGGGGCTGGCAGAGTGGCTCAAGTGGTAAGAGTGCCTGCCTAGCAAGTGTGAGACCCTGAGTTCAAAACCCCAGTGTTGCTGAAAAAAAACAAGAAAAAAAAACGCAGTCTAATATTTAGAGCTGGAGGTGTCGCTCAAGCGGTGGAATGCCTACTTCACAAGTGTGTGAAACCCTAAGTTCAAATCCCAGTCTCACTAAAAGAAGGGGGGGGGTGCGCGTTCATTTGTCCATTTGTTAATTAGATCATTTGTTTAATTTTTTGAGTTGTTTACATATTCTGAATATTAATTCCCTGTCAGATGAATGTGGGCTCTTATTGTCTACTTTTCATGATTTTCATCTGTTAATGTGTAACTTCTGCTTTTTTGGCAGTACTAGGGTTTGAACTCAAGACCTTGCACTTGCTAGGCAGGCACTGTACCACTTGAGTTACACCCCCAGCCCTCTTTTCTGCTTTTAAATTCTAAATAAATGTTAAAATTAGGTGAAGGTATTACTGTAGACTTTACACATTTTTCATGCTGTTCTTATTAAATATATATTTTGAGGCTAAACAGACAGAATATATCCTTAGTAATGTCTTATAGACCAAAGATTTTATGCTAGAGCTGAAACAAGCCTTAACTATAAAACTGAACGGGGTTTTATATGTAGGCATTCAGAGGCTTGCTAGCAGTCTTCATCTTTGGACTTTATTTCGTACAGTAATTTTCCTTCCCTATGTTATTTTAGGTATTTATGTTTGGGATGTAGAAGGCAGAAAATATTTTGACTTCCTGAGTGCTTACAGTGCTGTCAACCAGGGGCACTGTCACCCCAAGATTGTGAGTGCCCTGAAGAGTCAGGCAGACAAATTGACCTTAACGTCTCGTGCTTTCTATAATGACGTCCTTGGGGAATATGAGGAGTACGTCACTAAACTTTTGAACTACCATAAAGTTCTGCCTATGAATACAGGTAAAGCATTTTCTTTTTTGTTAAATACTCAAGAGAATAATCTCATTTTCTGATAATTTGAGACATTGAAATCTGAACATTTTTACCTCATAGGAGTAGAAGCTGGAGAGACTGCCTGTAAACTCGCTCGTCGGTGGGGCTACACTGTGAAGGGCATTCAGAAATACAAAGCAAAGATTGTTTTTGCAGGTATGCGAAATTAAATATTAACTGCTACAATTTAAAATGTACACTATTATTTACCTCTTTAGTTTACTAGGGAAATATTTCTAACATGTTTTCCTGCTACATGATATGTTATTTTTTGGGGCGGGGGGAGGTGGGGAGAGAAAAAACTTGAGGGATTCCTCTTCTTGGATTTATTTCTAACTTCTTTATATATAAGCCCTATCTTCTTTTTTTAGCGGTGCTGGGAATTAAAACAAGAGTCTTGCACATGCTAGGCAAGTGCTCTGCTACTGAGCTACCTCCCTAGCCAATATTTGAGTCTTAATATTGAACGTGCCCTTACACTATGTTCTTATAAGCTCTTCGGAAAAGTGACCTGAAGTTGTCCTTGTTACACTGCTGGGAATGGTCTAGAGGAGAAACTTGAATTTTGATTAGAGAGACCAACAACTAATTGGGAATCTTTATATGACATTCAAATAATAAGTTCTAAAAACCAAAGCATGTATTGATTTATCACTGTACATGGTCAAAATTCATTTTTTTGATAATTAAGATCATTAAGTATTTTGCTTTGTGAATACATAGAATTAAATTGTAATCTTCATAACAGTAGAACCCAGAGTTCAGTTGATGGCCAGAGGCAACTGGTATTTGAGGTGACAGATTAGTATTTCCAAAGAAGAAATCTTTGTACAACTCTGCAACATGCCATTTTACTATCTTGTGCCTTAGCTTAGTTGTAGGACAATGTAATAGTCTCTTGCAAATAAAAATGGTATTTCTGGTGATTTTCATTCTTATAGACTGTGTCCAGTCTCTTTCATATTAGCAAAGGGTGCAAAGAGGTTTTCACCCAAGTATTGAAAGAAGCTGGTGAGTCAGTGGGGTGGAGAGACAGCGGAAGACTGTCCCAACTGTAAGTCCCTTCCACCTGCAGGTTAAGCTTCAGAGGATGAGGCATGTGAGCTAGGTAGAGGAGAGCAGATAGGTTCCTGTCTCTTCAGTATGTTTTCCTAAACACGCCTCGTCAAAATCAATATGCTGCTGTTTGTGAATGAGTATAAGATAGCGTTAGTCTTGAGAGATGCAGATGAGAGGCTTTTTCAAGAGTAGTGCTTAGAGATGCCAAAAGCTAACACATAATAATCCAGTACTGAGTTAATTGAGCTGCTGCTGGCAGAGGTGGTGGGAAGATTAAAAAAAAAGCATCCTTACTATAGGCAAACCCCCAGCATCTCTACTATTCTTCATTGTTCCTTTCCCTCTCAAATTTAACCCCATCTGGAATTGCCTAGTTCATTTGCTTTGCTGGTTTATGTTATGGTATTTGTTTCCTACTAGAGAAAAGCTCTAAGGGCAGACAGCTTGCCAGGCTGCCATCTCCTGTTCCGAGAAGAGTACCTGTTACACTTCTAGTAGGTCCCAAGTCACACTAATGAGTAAAAGAAGAAAGGCAGGTGTCTGTCATTTAGCATTGCACAGGATTATAATACCTAGTCAGGCACAGTGGAAAATGTTTGGACTACCTGGGAATCTTTGCTGTAAATGAAATTGAAAATACATTCTGTACAGTAGTTAGCCTAAAGTATTGGATTTCAAAAATGAAAACTGCTAATTCTCTTTGAAGAATATTTCTTTTTCATGGCACTTTATAAATGCATTTTCTCTAGCTACAAAGCATGCATTGAAGACCTCAGTTTTTAGGCTTGGGGTGATTCTAAGAAAAGTTTCTATCCTCAGGGCTCTATATAACAGCCAGGAGACTCAGTAGAGAAGTGTCTAAAATAGTAATTGCAAGGCTAGACATAGTGTCAAGTGAACCATGGTGTTTAATATCAGATTTTGTTTTAATAATTGAAAGCTCACTGGAGGTTCTCTAAAGCAAACCCTTGGTTAGGCAAACTTACCAAGGTACTTTGGGGAACGGTGCTTGTTAAATTTGGGAGTTTATTTGGAATAATGACTGCTCATTTCTCCTTTCTAGCTGGAAACTTTTGGGGTAGAACCTTGTCTGCTATCTCCAGTTCTACAGATCCAACCAGTTATGATGGCTTTGGACCCTTTATGCCAGGTTTTGAAATCATCCCATATAATGACCTGCCTGCACTTGAGGTACTTCACTGACCAGGTGGTGCTTAGTTCACGCAAATAGAGATTACTTTGAACAGTTATTTCCTTTGAATTTGTTGATATTAAAACAGGTTAATAAGGGCCAGGGATATAGCTCAGTGGTAGAGTGGTTGCTTAGCATGCTTGAGGTCCTGTGCTCAATACCCAGTACTGCAAAACAAATAAAAAAGATGTTATATGTGTCTAATGAAAATTTACTTAAGTTAGGTCAAAAATTTCAGCCTTATTCTCGGTAATGGTTAACTTGTTTCCAACACAGGGAAAACTACATTTTGTCACCTAATCCCTACCATTTTGGACTTGTGTCTTTCATAACAACTTGGGTATTACCTGTTTAATTACTTGATGCAATTCCTTTACAATTATGAAGCGGAACAGTTTCCTTTTTTTTTGTGGTGCTAGGGATGGAACCTAGGGCCTTGTGCATGCTAGGCAAATGGTCTACCACCGAGCTACATCCTCCCCAAAGTGGAGTACTTTTGTAAAAAAGTCTTAAAATGGCTTTAACAGGTCATTTACTTTAGGTTACATTTATAAGACATTTATGTGTTAGAAAAATGTAGGGCTAGTGTAATTTAAAAGTGAAGCATTTGGAGCTCCTGGGAATTGAATGTCAGTGAGAAATGTTGTATTTGTGAAGTAGAATGTAAGTTAGTACAAAATCTAATTACTTATATCTTAACAGGCAAATATGTTTAGTTTATTATTTCAGATTTCCAATTATGGTAGAAAGGAAGTCATTAAAAATTTATTCCTGTTTCTTTTGTAGCGTGCACTTCAGGATCCAAATGTTGCCGCCTTCATGGTAGAACCAATTCAGGGTGAAGCAGGTGTTGTTGTTCCGGATCCAGGGTACCTAGTGGGAGTACGAGAGCTCTGCACCAGGCACCAGGTTGTCCACTGTTTGATGAGGCCCAACTGGCTCTTGCCTGATTTCCCTTAGCCATTTCAGTTCTACTGGTAGGATAAGTGCAGAGCCAAAATCTCCTTTCCACTAGAGGGAGACTTCATTCCAAGAGCTAGGAACTTTCTAGTGCTTAGAAACCTGCACATGAAGTTAACATTCACAGTCTGGAACACAGGCCAGATGCTGGGCTATGGGCAGAGCTGTAGGCTTCCTGGCCCTAACCATGTCCCTCCTCTCTTCCCCAGAAGCCTTGTATTCTTAATCCTCCCAAACCCTGTGTTGTGTGTGTCCCTGGCTCTAAGTGTTATGATCTCTCTTCCACTTTTCCTACCAATGCTAATATAGTGTATTTTGTTTGCTATTGACATTCCAGAAAGAATCTGGTAAACTTTTATGGGATAAATTAATTGATTTGTCCCAGAGTGCAGCTTTAGGCAGAAAAGCCCTGTAACCCACATGTCTGCATAAGTGCTGCTTCATTATGCAGAGCAGTGCCAAATGGGCCCCTGGGAGGTGGTAGCCTGACAGAGGAAACAGTTGGTGTGTCACAGGACACCCTTGAAAGTGTGCGAGTAATTAAAATGTTTTCATAGACTAGAGGGCATGTCATTGTTACACATTTGTGGGGCGAGGGAAGTGAAATGATGGTCCTTATTTTCCCTGTGGAAATGCAAATGATAATTAATGTTGAAGTGTTGTTTTCCAATAGGTCCTGTTTATTGCTGATGAAATACAGACAGGATTGGCCAGAACCGGTAGATGGCTGGCTGTTGATCATGAAAACGTCAGACCTGACATAGTTCTTCTTGGGAAGGCCCTTTCGGGTGGCTTATACCCTGTAAGTCTAGCCTGTCTTTCTGTTCCTTCTTTCCTGAAATATACCTCTAAAATACTTATATATCCACTGATAGTGACAATCATGCCTCTCAGATGGTTTTATTTTACCAAGTGGGCTGTCAATCACCTGGAATATTTGCAGTAAAAACATTTTAGGGTTCCCTGGTTGATACAGATAGTGAATCTTGATGAATGAATGGAGTGTATGGAATTTGATTTAAATGGGAGCATTTTATATTAAAATTCCTCTTGTTCAGAAACATGGCATTACCAACTGGTTAAAATCCTGACTGATGAATACAGAGGTTGAAAATTTTAATGTTCTGTTGTTTTTTTTCTTGGGTTTGCTATGCAAAGCCACTAACTAGTGTTGGACTAAAGGGCTCTGAAGGGCAGATGTTTTCTGCTGTCTTGCTAAAGAGAATGTGCAACTTTGTTTTCTAAACAGACAAAGGATTTTATCTTGAAATTGGAAAAGATTGTAAATTATATCACTGCAGAAATGATTTTTATTTTTTAGGTCCAAAATTATATTATTCTGTACCATTGAAGTATTACCTAATGTGTTTGTGACACGCTAGGTATTTCTCGGGTTTTTACTGGTAGTTAGGGTGACAGATATAAACTCTTGTTGAAGTTTTATGTAAATTTAATATCAGCTTCATACACTATTTGTGTTCTGCTGTGCTAAGAATAAGAATACTTAGAGAAAACACATGAAGCATTTGCTGTCTTTCAGGTGTCTGCAGTGTTGTGTGATGATGAAATAATGCTGACCATTAAACCTGGGGAACATGGGTCAACATATGGTGGCAATCCACTGGGCTGCCGAGTGGCCATAGCAGCCCTTGAGGTGAAAACTGATAGAGCCAAACAGTATTTACTTCTTTAAGTGGTTTGAGATGTTTCCTAATTTGGGCCCAAGGTGTAATGTGAAATTCTGTAAGCTTGCCAAGTGTTAGAGACCATGAAGTACAAAGGAAAGATTTTGTGAGCAAGGCATTCTCAAAAAAGAAGTTAACCTGCTGCGTCAACCTGTAGACTGGGTTTCCTGAGTTTGCTGTCACCTGGGGCTTAGGCCCCTGAGGCCCTGGCTGGCCCTGATAGAAATCTCACACTGTAACCTACCTACCAGGCCTCTTTGCCTTAGCAAAGAAGTGATTCCTCCCTTCCTTCTTTCCTTCCTTCCTCCCTTTTCTTTTATTTCTTTCTCTCTTTTTTTTTTTGGATTTTGAGAGCTGGAGGTCTAGCTCAGTGTTGGAGTATGCTTAGCATGCCTGGGTTTGATTCCCTGTTACTACATAAAAATAAAAATAAAGCTGGGTGTAGTGGTGCACACACTTGGGAGGCTAAGGCAAGAGGATACCAAGTTTGAGACCAGCTTGGGCTACATAGTGAGAATTTGTCTCAAAAAAAAAAAAAAAAAAGTAAAAATAAGAAAAAAGAGATAAATGTAGATTTTAAATACTTTCAGACTTAAGGCATAAACTTGTTATATAATCTCTAAGGATAGACTTTTTAGCGGAAAAAGATTCTATTGTAGTTTAAAAGTTGGATCATATTTATTTAGTTCATTGATGTATTCAAATGACAGCATATCATAAGTTGCATTAAATAAATTGTAATCCTTATTTTGCCATGAAGACAGATTGCCAATAGATCTGTGACTAAAGCAAGGCTCTGAGATGGTGTCTATTTAATTAAAAACATAGGCCTTAAAAAATAAGTGAAAGTTAAATTTCTTGGGTATTTATGTAATCGTGTTTTTCCTTTGTGTGTATTCCCTCTTAGGAACAACCAGTGAAGTGTAGTCTTAACACTTGTGTTAACTTTTTTTTAAACATAGGTTTTGGAAGAGGAGAACCTTGCTGTGAATGCAGACAAAATGGGGACTATCTTGAGAAATGAACTCAAGAAACTGCCCTCTGATGTTGTAACTGCTGTCAGAGGAAAAGGATTGTTAAATGCCATTGTTATTAGAGAAACCAAAGGTATGTGGATAGCACATTTTAGTTGACAGCTAGTGTTTGAAGGAAATAATTGGTTTGGTGCTGGGGATTGCTCTGCTTGCAACCATTAATAACTTATTGACCAAGTCTTTTAGAGTATCTGATTTACATTAATCACATTGACAGTATAGCTCTTTCTTGCAGGAAGGCACATTTAGCTCATTTGGCCTGGTTTTGTTTCTCGGAGACATTTTCTCTGCCTTCGTTAGTCCTGCAGTGCTTGGAGATTCTGATTAGTTTCTGTTAGTCTGGACAGAACACTGTCCTTGGGAGTTTCCTCTTTTGCTGGTTCTTTCCTCACTTAAATGCTTTGTGCATCAGCAGAAGTTGTAGGAGCAGTAGTAATAATAGGAATGATTATGATGATGTTGATAATAAAAGTAATAGTAGCTGTCACTTAATCTGTCACTTAATGGAGGCTTGATGTTTCTCATGGGTCATTTATCACCCTCAAGGGCTCCTTGCTGGATTTTTTTTTTTGTGATAACCCTTCCTTTAAAAGCAGTGGTTCCAGCAGTGGCTGTACTTTGTAATCACTGGGGGAGCCTTTTAAAAAGAATCATAGCTTGGCCTTATCCCAGAGATTCCTATTTGATGGGTCTGGGTGAGCCCAGAGAGTGGTGACAGTGGCTCCGTCAGTGATTGTGCCATGCAGCCTGGGTTGAGAACCACTGCTGTGAGTGATGAAAAGTCTAGTTCCTCACATTCAGAGAGCACATCCATTTTTATAAGGTGTAGCTTTCACTGGGCTTGATTATTGTTTATTCTGTTTCAGTTAATTTTCTGTATCATACCCAAGTTTCCACACTTTACCTCTTGTGACAGGTCACAGTCAAAATGCAGATGCACTAGAAAAATACTGTATACAATTACCTTCAGTCTCTGTGTATAGCATGTATATGAACAGGTGAATTTTGTGTTTAAATATAAGTCTTCTTCCCAAGATACCTCATCTTCCTTATGTATATGCAAGTATTGCTTAATCCGAAACACTTCGGATCCTAAGAATTTCAGATAAGGGTTACTCAGCCTACTGGTAACACAGCAGCCATAGCAACCTGTTTTTGCTTACTGTCTTTTTTGTTTATGAAAAACCAACAAAAAACATGATATGTCTAAACATGCCATTTGAACCTAGTTCTGTGAGTGCTGAAAAGTCAGGAGTAACTTAACGTTTTAAGAATTACAGCAAGGCTAGCTCTGGCCTGAGAGTGTCCTTTCTTGAGCAGGTCCTGGAGATTCTCATTTGTGAGGCTGCTCTTTGCCCATGCATATGACAGAGGGATGTCAAACATGAATCTCTGATGAGCACATATGTGTGACTATTTTTCTGTAGATTATGATGCTTGGAAGGTGTGTCTGCGACTTCGAGACAACGGGCTTCTGGCTAAGCCAACCCATGGCGACATCATCAGGTTTGCACCTCCACTTGTGATCAATGAGGATGAGATCCGGGAGGCAGTGGAGATCATTAACAAGACTGTCCTGTCTTTCTGAGGGTAGGAGCTGTTCAGTGGCCCCAAGAAGCTGGCTGGAGCCAGGGGTCTTGTAAAGCTTTGCTCTTATTGCAGGCACATTCCACTCCCATATGTCTTCAAAAACATTTTTTTTAATACGTATTTTTTTCAGTTGGTACATGACAGAGTGTGACATTTGTGAACCAGCAGTTGACTGTGTAACATAACCAAGGGAATGAATGGCATCTGTTATTTGTTAAGTGTTACTGACTGCATGTGTACTCGCTAAGGTGAAATACATCCATTTGTGTATGAACAGCCTTCAAATCAAGTCTTTCAGTATAATTTACTTTTTTTTAAAAATAATTTTCTTATATAAATGTTTTGTATTTGAAATGGTTATCTCTCATATATTACATAAAAGACTTTCTTCATCTTATAAAATTGAATCATTGTAATCATTGAATTTTAGGGTGATTAATGGTCAAGCATATACAGAATCCTAATTCTAAAGAGTGAACTTTATATTGGTCAACACCAGAGTGTGTTCTATGAGTGTCATTGTTTTGAATGAAGAATTCATTCCTAAATTATGTTTTGAGTGCTCGATTATAGTTTGTAAAAACAAAAAAGTGTATTTTCAATATTTCTTTAAATTTAAAATAAAGCTTATTTAAAAGTGTGTTTTGTGATCAGTGAGCTATTATAGCAGTCATTCCAGGTACCCAGTGTTGGGGTGCTTTCTGAGAATGTTCTTACCTTGCTTTTATTTCTGTGTTTCTCTAAGAGCATTTCTGCTTCCTTTGATGATCTAGGGAAAATAGGAAATACTGAAAAAGATCTAGAAGACAGTCTAACACTTCCCTTTCAAACACTGGCTTTTTTTCTTGTGCATATTTACCATTTTACTAAAGTTATCTTTAACTGTACATGGTAGTTTGCAGCTTTTCTGTTTTTCTTTTTATCCAGAAAGAGCACTTTATATTTCCATTGGTAATTACAAGTGTATCTCATTCTCAAATGACTAGTGTTTTATGACATGTGGCTATATTATAATTTCATCTCATGTCCAGGGATAATTGGGCTTGTTTCAGGTTTTTCACTCTAAATAAACCTATGACTACTTATTGTCTTCACACAATGGTGTGGTTTTTTGTTTTTGTTTTTTATTAAAATTTGTGGACTTTCTTTTGGAGGTGAATATTTTTGTGGAGTAAATCTCTAGAAGGGGCTTGCTGTTCAATAGTGTCTCCTTGTTCTCTGACTTCCCTCAGGTTCTGTGAGGTCATTTTACAGCTCCCCAGGGGGTGTGAAGTCAAGATGGAGAACCTCTGGGCTTTGGGATCTTACTAACATGCAAATTGAGATTCTGAGTGTACCTGAGATTCTGCACTGCCCGCAGGCTTCCTGCAAGGGAGCTACATCCAGCAGTCCTCACTCTTCAGAGAAGGTCTGAAGGCCAGGTCAACTTAACAAATGGAGTTCCTGGCTAAATTCTATGAAGCCTTTAATGTCTAGTGGGAGGAAGTGGGTGGGCAAGCACAGAGTTGTGCAGAGCAGTTAGAACCTCAGAGCCGGGACGGTAATGAGGGTAATGGTCCTTGGAGTCCAGGGCTGTGTTCTAGGAGCCATGGGATTGCTGAAGGAAGGGAGGGAAGCAGGGAAGGGGTGCTGCCCCAACTACATTAACAGATCTGCCAGGTAGAGTTGAGGGTTTGTTCAGTCCACTGAAACTTCTTTCGGCCTGCCTGAGTGTGGTAGTAGGATCTGCATGAAGTAGTGAAGAGGGAGATCCTGGGGACAGGAGGTGGTTAGTGGGGATGCAGGGAAGAGCCATAAGCTTTGGAATTGGGCTTGGTGTGGACTGTCAGAGCTATGTCTTAAAAGCCAACTTTTCTGAGGAGGTGGGATATTATCCACCTTTTAGGAAATTGATGGGGATTAAAAGATTGTGTGGGTAAGGCCTCTGCATACTACTGTCAACATAATATAACTCTTTTTTGCATTAATAGGATTTTAACTCAGAGCCTCATGCTTGCTAGACAGGTGCCACACCCCAGCCCTTACAGCTGCTTTAAAGAAAATGTTTATTCTGAGCCAAATAAGAGACCTGAACCAGGAACATAGACTCATTACCCTGAGTTATGTTTCACTGTGGAAGAGATTATATGAACTTTTATAGTCAGAACAAAAGAAATCAATGTGTGTACAACATACACGGGCGGGGTTATCAGGTGTATGAGGGGTCTCCTATCGGATTCAGATGTTATCTTTATGGCATACTTAGCTTTAGGGTTGGTGGAGCCTAGAGGTATGGTAGGCTTAGCAAAACCTTTCAAGAGGTTTTTTTTCCAGTGGTGACCATGTTAGGTCAGATTCTGAGGTTGCTAATAAATGCCTATTAAGTACTAAAGAGAGTCTGAGATGACTTTGTTTACCTGCAATATTCCATCTCTAGTCAGAAAATTCTAGTCAGCCAAGGTCAGCCTGCATAGAAGTGACTTCAGAGAACTTCAGAACTCTGACTCAGAGTTGTAGATACTGTCCCCTTGCACCACAATTGGAAGGAGGAATTGGGGAGTGAGACTTTCAGATAAAGAATCTTCTGGATAAAGGTGAATTCCAGGTAAGGAAAGATGGGAGAGAACTGACAGGCCTGGCTGTACCATGAAGGGGAGGAGCAGTCCAAAGTAGAACCCACAGAGTTTGAGATACCCAGATACACGGCCTGGGGATGTCCATTCAGAACACCACCACACTACCCCTCTCCCGCATCCATGGCTTGTTCTTTGGATTCTGACCTTCCAGGACCACCTCATCTCTATGACCTGGAATAGTTTCATTGCACGTACAAGAAAACAGGTGGGATAGGAGATCAGATTACCTAGATTAGTGAGACAGAAGGGTCCCCAGAAATTTCCATTATGACCTCACTGACCTTAAGTGGTGGAAAGAAGGAAAAGCAGGATGGACCAGAACAAGGATAGGAATGAGGACTAGGGCCTGACCAATCAGAGCATGGCAGGCACAACCAACCAGAATGCTGCGTTCTAGATACCTAATTAGCATAGAGATGAGCAGTGTCCTGGAGGAAATGCATAATAACCTCAGACCACATCCACTTGGGACCCCTCCCTTCCTTAAAAAACTTCTCTAACTCTACATCCACCTTCATTGTCCATGAAGACACCCCTCCCTTTGGCTAAACACCTAAGCCAGCAAGGTTGAGTGGAGGTTTTCAGCCCTACATAAACCTGTTACAGTAACACACCAGATGATAAGGACAACCAATGCATGCCAAGCACAGGAATTTGAGGTCCTCACCCCCATAGGATGGACACATTTCATGTGAGGACACACTTGGGAAGTTTAGATTCGTGGCTCTCAATATTGGCAGTACAATAGAGTCACCTGGTCTGCTTGCTTAAAAACATCAGCATCAATGTCCAGGTCACCTCCTGTCAGAATCTTGGTGATTCTGGTGGTAAGTGTTCCCCGGGGGAGTGTAGTGTGCAGCCTTTGCAAAGTGGACGCTGAGTGTAAATGCAGGGTGTCATCCACTCAACCATGCTGGCACTGGGTCAGCACTGAGGGGCGACCTGTGAGTGAGGCACACCGTCCCTGACCTCATGGGACCTTTTAGTAGGCACATTTATTGGAAAAAATGTTTGAGTTCTACTTAGGTAGCCCAGAGGACAGAGATTGAAAGAAACAGTATTGAACAGTCTGTACTGGGCACTATTCCAAATAGGTTATGCCTCATCTTAGGTACTATTACCCCCATTTCCAGATGGGGAAATCAAGGTTTATAAAGACAAAACTTGCTTAGTTCGCTGAAAATAGTAAGTGGTATCACCCTAGAGCAGTAGAAAGCTTCCGAGGGAGGCCAGAGGTGGCCCAAGGTGTCCCGAGGCTGGGGGTTGGGGGCATCTTTTGTCTCGGGAGCAGAGTGAGATGACCTTGGTGTATGTAAAAGCATTTCCATTTGTTTCTAACTTATGGAAGGGATTCTTAAGAATACCAGCGTGAGCCATTGAAATGAATAATAAACACAAAAGCCGTTTAGTTCATTTTGGATAAACTAAAATCTACTTCAGGACTTCTCCATTGTTCCATGCATGTATAATGGCTTGGAGGAGTTTTATTAGTTCCTCAGCTTTTATTTTGATTAATTTGCAAATTAGAATTTCCTCCTTTACATCAGTCCATCCTTCAAATTGTTCATGAAATAGCTGAACTAATATGGCTTTTATAATTTGCATCACCATACTTGAGCACTGAACAGATGATAGCAAAGAATAAAATGCTGGGTGGAGGGCAATGTAGGGGCAAAAGAAAGTTCCCCTCCACCCTTTGGAGGTTCCCAGGAATAAACTAAGATTAAATGAAAAGAACAGGCTGCAGAACTGGAATCACGAGGGGACTGTAATACCCTCCAGCCCCAAATTATTCTGAAGCTTATATGTGTTAGGGAAAATGCCGCTCACGAGAAAAGTCTCATGTCCAAGAGCAAGGTTTACTGACAGGCTCGAGCTGTCGGGCTGGCCAGGGAAAGATTAGAAGAGGGAGTTTGAGGGAGTTAGTGCACATGCAGGAGTTTCCATTAGGGGTGGAGCTGTCTTAGAGTGCGGGAGTTTCTGTTGGGGTGGAGCTGCCATTGGAGGTGAAGTTGCCTGGGGGAGGTTCCATTTCTCAAGAAGTGAAGTCTGAGAATAAAATGGCCACCAATTCACAAAATGGCAATATTATTGCTCTATTATTCCCCCATTTTTTCTTTAATAATGATGAAGGTAGGGGCTGAGGATCGGGAATCGGGGCGAAGTGTCGGCCTCTTAGTTGCTTAGACTGTTGAGATGACCTTCGGGTTCAGGGTGCAGCTGCTTGGATGGACTGGGTAATGGGCTTTATAGGAGGGGCCAAGCTGTGAGGGAGGGAGAGAGTTCCTGGTCTCCAATTATCTGTGATCACCAGATGGAGGGGTCAACATGCCTAGCTAGTTGAGAAACTGGAAGTTCCTGAGATTTTGCAAGCAGCGAAACAGGTAGGGGGACAAGCAGGGGAGTTTGGCAAGCAGTGAGGGGGTCTGGTTTTGGTGTTAGCTTCGGGAACTTCTGCCCGCCCCAAGAATGCCAGGGACCTAACATTCCAACCTTTTGTTGGTATTATGGGTGCCGATTGATCTAGCTGCTTTGTGGGGGCATCATTAAGGGGGTTCGGCTAGAATTTGGAAATTTGTGAGGTCCCCAGGAGTGGAGGCTGATGGTTTTTCCCAGGCTTCATTTGCAGAAAAGGCCAGTTGTTGGTAGGCTGGAGAAGCATCTGGTGGGAAGTCTGCTGAGTTTCCCTAGGCAATCCTGGAGGCATCTAGGGTTAAAGAGCATTTTCCTGGTTTAAAGGTTTGCACATGTGCAGCTGTTTTTCTTTTTATAGTAGCCTCTAAAATGGACCTAACAGATTGTATAGCCAAGGGAAGGAAGCAGGGAGGTAGCATGCATGCTTCCAGAATTAGGCCCACTGCCCTTACCAGTGTTTTAAGTACACCTATGGCAGAAAATCAAGAGCCAGATGAGGACTAAGAACTTATGTAGGAGTGGAAGAGGGAGAGAGTTTGTGGGAGAGGCATAGCCATGTAGGGCCCAGCAATATGCAAGAGTACTCATCCTTTGCTGTATTGGAAGAGTCTGAGGTGTTTTATCCTTGAGAAGTGCTGCCACTGGGGGATCCCATTGAGCCTGACAGTGGTGGGTGTCGTGAGGATGACCAGATGAGGGCCGGTCCCCGAAGTCCCAATGGAGAGGGTCAAAGATCCTTTAGGAAGAACAAGATCCCCTGGTTTAACAGAAATTATTATAGGGTGGGCAGGATCTGGTCTGCATGCTCTCTGAGAAGTTCTCTAAGAAGGTTAAGATAAGGTAGGTAGTCAGCCGGAGGAGCAGGGTTTGTTGGAGGCAAGTTTCCTAAGAGAAATGGGCAGCCATGCACTATTTCAAAGGGGCTCAAGAAGGAAGGGCTTTGGGGGGTGGTCCATTGTGGGGTTTTTTTCTCATTGGCCAGGGACTCGTGGGCTTTCTCAGGTGAACTTGTTTGGTTTGCACCTTTATTGGGGGAGGGGAAGCAGTCTTAAGAGAATTTATTATGTAAGACCCAAATAGAAATATTAGAAGGAGCATAAAAAGGTGTCTGCTAAGGGCTTGCATATCTAGGGATCCAGATTCTGCAAAATCCTGTAACTCCCAAGAAAGCTCTAAGCTGCTTTGTGGTATGGGGGAGTGGGAAACAAAGGATTGGGTTGATTCCCTCATGACTCAGGGAGTGAGTGTGTCACTTTAAGGCCACGCCTAGGTAGGTGTGAGGTAGGGGCTGACTGTCAGGACTTAGGTTAAATGTAACACTCTTAGATAAAAGAGGGCTTTAGCTTATTATTTTATATAAATTTACATTTTTAACTTTGTAAATGTTTGTACCATATTTAGATAAAGTGTAGACACAACACTGTTGCAAA